TTTGACGATTCCTCGCCGTCGGCCACCTTAAGACCGAACGGCAGCGCCCGTCCAATTCGCCTCGCACCGTCCACCTCCATTCAATTCCGTGGCACTGTGTCATTGCCCTATTCCCCTCCATCCCGTGCGCACCCCATTTTCACCACCACTACCTTCCCGACGCCGCTGACACAGTCGCGCCACCGCCGTCTGTCGCGGAGTTTGCCGTGCGCGCGTGGCCAGACTCACTCGGCCCGTCCCCGGTCAAGCCACCACGTCTGGTAGGTTCTGGGTGAGTTGCTGATGCCCATTCCTTGTTTCGTTCATGTCGTTTGTGCCTTGGCTCACGGGAACATGGCCGCCGCCGCTGCAGGGGGCCCACCGCCATGGAGGGAGCTCGGGACCGCGTCTCCGTTCATCACTTCACCACCCACCGCCTCGCGTTCGCATCTAGGTGAGCATCGGCTCGCTATCGTGGGCGGGAAGGGGCTAGGCTGGTCGGCGTGACCGCCCAGTGCCGTCGCCGCCACGCCGGTGCGCGCGCGGGTGCGCGAGGACCTGGACGTGGTAAAGATAGGATATTCCGAGGGCTAGTCTGCTTAAATGCTTACTGTAGGAATAGTGTTGCGAACCTTGGGGGGAATTCCTAGTAGCTCAAGGTCGTCTTCGCAAAAAAAATACCGGAGCGCGCGGGCCTCCTCGTCGCGGGCCGTCGTCGCACGGTTGGGCCGCGCCCGCGTGGGCCACGCCGGTGGGTCGCGCGTGCGCATGCACGCTGCGCGGGTGTGGGCCGCACCACGAGTTAATGGGCCGCGGATTGAATTCAGTTTTCTTTTTCCAGGGAATTAGCAGATGCTTTTCTAATTTAAATTGTGAACTGATCTTTGAAAAATTATAATAATTGTTGTAGGTGTCCAAAAATAGTGAAACAAAATTTGTTAGGTTCACAAAAATATGATCTATCTGTTGGTGTAGTTAGTTTACAGTTATCTATGATAATGATAGATTCATTAATTCATTTAGGAAAGCTTAGCATTATTTAGTTTAATATTTGTAGGAATATTTTTGACAAATTGGTAATAGATTTAGCAATGAAATTTTACAGTAGGTTCATTAGAATATTATGTGCTCACTGTAATTTTTATAGCCTTAGAATAAATTGATAAATATGGTAGCTAGTACTCCTTGTTTTATCATGTATATAGTAAATCGATATTAAGAGTAAGAATGCCTTTAGTTGCTAAGTTAATACATGACCTGTTTCATACCTGTTGGTGGAAATGATAGGCAACTTAGCGTTTTAGTCGGTAGAGCTAGCTTAGTAGCTTGATAGATGTATTCTTATTTTAAGAGTTGTTGTTGCCGTATTACTAAGTGTTGCATCATCATTTCATGCATGTAGATAACGAGTTGGTAGAGTTCGTGCCTGCTGAAAGGTCCTTGTTGGTTTTGGTAATTGAGTGACAACCTAGGTGGACTAATTGTGTTTATGTGAGATACACAGGTGATTAGTCCACAGGTACATGTATGTGAGCAACATATGCCATGAAGGTGAAAATGGCTTAGAGATGTTGCAAAGCTCACACACGTGATGATGAAGGAGCTTATTGCACATGAGACATGACATTGAGTCATGTGATCAAGGTGGAGAAGATCAAGACAAAACTTGGCTTGATGGACCGGTTGCAAGCGTGAAGGGCAAGTCGAAGGCTTTGGAGTGATGGACCGCGTGGCGGTGAAGCTTGAGCAAGACTTGGCGCCGATGGACGATGGCAACGGTGAAGGGCAAGTGAAGTCAAGATCGATGAACCAATATGATCACGTGATGATATGAAGTGGATCATATCATTGTTGATAGTGTTGGTGCATGTGTTGCATCGACATTGGAGGAGATGGAATGGAATGCGCAAGGCAAAGGTATAACCTAGGGCATTTTATTTCACCGGTCATAGGTGTGTAGAGAAGTTTATGACCGGGTTTAGGATAGATGGTCGTACTATCAAGAGGGGCAAACTTGTTTGCATATCGGTCATCTAGTGCCACTCGAGTGATCTAACTTTGCATTGTCGCTAGGATCGAGTGGCGTGGCAAGTTGAGTGGCTAACATCCTTTGAGAAATGATTGTGAAAATGCTAACACACATACACATGGTGGTGTACACTTGGTGGTGTTGGCACATTTACAAAGGAGGTGGTGTTTGCGAGGTGAGATGGGTTTGGGTCCTTCTCCTCCCGCCGAGCTTGCGAGGCGGGATTCGCGCTTTCGGAAAATAGAATGCCTATCTTCTATTGCTCAGGAGGCAAGTTCTTGTGGTTAGCACATTGGAGCAAGGGTGATGAAGTTAGAAGTGAAAAACGAGTTAGTCGCGAAGATCTTTGGCGTCGGTCAATCGACCGGACGTAGAATCAATGCACCGGACTGCCGCAGACATTCTCGTCGTCCGTCAGTGACATATCGATGACATGTAGCTGAGTGTGGCCGGGCTGGGCTGCGTCCGATCAAAGTGTGGTCCGACGCGTCCGGCCGAGTCGATACTATTTATCGAAACGCACCGGACGGCGGGAAGGGTTGCGTCCGGTCGGTCAGCTTCATCTTGGAGCGTCCGATCGACGATGACCGTTGAGATCCGGTGAAACAGCGTTTGAAGGAGGGGACACGTGGCGTGCATCGCATCATGCGACCGGACGCCGAGGTCCAGCTGTTCGGCCGATCGGACCAGAAAGTCCCGGTCGGCCCGACCGTTGCCAAAGAAGGGGTAACGGCTAGTTTAGCCCTTGGGGCTATAAATAGAAGTGGCCCTCGGCCATGGCTGGAGCCGAGCACCTCAAGGGACTTAGTGTCCATGCTTGTGAGTGCTTGGGAGCCCTCCATCACACATATACTTGATAGTGATCATTCGATTGTGTGAGTGAGCGATTCTAGTGCGATTGCATCGTGAGGTTGCATCGAGTGGCACTAGGTGATCGAAGTTGCGAGCCGGTGGTGCTTGTTACTCTTGGAGGTTGCCACCTCCTAGACGGCTTGGTGGTGGTCTCTCGTCGAAGCGCCGCAAGAAGCTTGCGCGGCGCTCCCGAGAAGTGCTTGTGAGGGGCATTGTGCTCGCCCATGAGTCGCTCAAGAAGCAACTTTAGTAAAGCGTGTCATTGAGCTATCCTCACTCAAGGGGTAGGTTCTTGCGGTGCCCGACGTGCGGGCTTAGCGGGTGATGCTAATTAGTCAGCCGAACCACCAAGTGAGCGGTCGACAATAACGGGGACTAGCGTGTTGGCAAACACGTGAACCTCGGGAGAAAAATCATCGTGTCAACCTTGTTCTTCCCGTTGGTTTGCATCCCCATTACACAAGCTTGTAATTACTTATATATATATCTTAAGCTTGTGTAGTTGCTCTTGTAATTAGATAGCTTGTGTAGCTAGCTAATTACCTTCTTGCTTGTGTAGCATAGAAGTAGCTTCCTTGCGTGGCTAATTTGGTTTTAGTAACCTTGTTAGTCACATTGCTTAGTTTGTGTAGCTAAGTATTTGCGCTCTCTAATTAGACGTTAGTTGCCTTGTTATTGAGCATTGCTAGTGAGCTTAGTTAGCTTTGTGCTTTTGCTTACTAGCATGTGTAGGAGCTCCCTTGTTACTTAAAGTACTAGTGGCATAGGTTTGTGTGACCTTGCTCCTAGAATTGTTTAGGAGAGCTCTAGCTAGCCCGGCACCTTAGTTGCTTTATTAGTATCTTTGCAAGGTGCTAGTGAACATATATAGAGGGTGTAGTCTTGGCTAGACCGATTGTTTTAATTCCGCATTTATATCGGTTAGCCGACGCGATTAATTTTAGAAAAGACTATTCACCCCCCTCTAGTCCGCCATCTCGACCCTTCACCTGCGGGCGAACAAGACTACGAGGAGATTATCGAGGAATACGAGGAGGAGATTCTCGTACAGGAGGGAACCCGGAGCCATCAGTTGCTCACTTTGTTGACACCCCGCTCGCCGAAGGCAAGCTCCGTTGCATAACCCTTATTTTGAATGATCACTTAATATATATATAATGTGCATTTATGTTACAGACATTTTATGAAAACTACATGTATAGATATATCTACCCACGAGTCCTACTAGCATAGGTCGAGTAGTTGCTATGCTCAGAATTTTAGTAGCGTGAGTAACCTGTCGTTACTCACTCTAGATGATTTTTTTTTGCAGCGGTAGATCCTGTGACGCCTTTCAGTCTAGGATGCTCCCATGCGTTACTGAGACCTGTCCTTGTTTTGAGCTCAAGTCAATATTTATACACTTGTAACTCTAAACTTCTACCACGAAGTACATGCTGTATATGAAACTCTGTTTGTCCAGAAGAAGGGTTAAGAGAAAGAAGATACATGAATGTTGTATACTTGACCAAATTTTGGTAACGGTAGCATACTTTTTAGTCTATTTGAAAAATGACATATTCAGGTTAATTGAAGGGAGTAGCTGTAATTCTAGCCTTGTCTTATGCAGTTCACCGTCTTTAGGGTGACTCCAGCTTGAAAGGAAGTCACAAGCAAGACAGCAATTTTGGTTTTAAGATTATATACTGTATACCGTACCACCAGTCAATTTTGATGTAACATTTCTTTGTATCCTATGGTTTGCATGTTTCAGGACGAAAAACTTCAAGATGTACTTGGCCATTTTCAGAAAGACTTCGAAGGAGGCGTGTCTGCAGAGAATCTAGGTGGGGATATGTGAACAGTCACTGTATCAGCTTGATTTGGGTTCATTATAGATAAACATTAAGCAGAACTTTAATCTTTGACAGGGTCGAACTTTGGTGGATATGGTTCATTTTTACCTACATACCAGCGCTCTCCTCTTCCTCAAACTAGAAGTCCATTTAAGGCAGCAAATGTTACCTCAAAATCTCCCTTTCACCAGTCTAGTGAGGTGCCTAAGGTTCTGTTGGCTGTGATTATCTACTGTCGTAGAACAGTGTTATCATGAACATGCTCTCGTCTGGCATTGATGATGTAATGATTTGTAATGTAGGGCATGTCTCAAAAGCCTCCGGCTGTGGCTGTTTCATCTACCCCCCAAAGTAATGGTCCTATGGTGCCTTTTTCTGGTGATTCAATTAAAAAGGAAATACGCCCAACCACAAAGGCGGAAAGGGGTTCCGTCTCCCATGATTCGTACGGACCATCAAAATCCAGTGACCAAAATAGACTTAAAGTCCGGATAAAAGTTGGCTCTGATAATGTTTTGGCAAGAAATAATGCGGCTATCTACAGTGGTCTGGGCCTTGATATTTCTTCACCTTCATCCATCGAGGATAGCCCCGATGGCTGTGGGAGCCTATCCCCTGAAGTTAACAATGTGCCACACGAATCTCCACAAACCATTCTTCAGGTAAAGTTTTCTGGTACAGCACAACTACACAAGGTCTTTATACTTCTATTCCATTGTCCATAGTAAAAGGGGGTTGATGATCAGCTTCATTTCAATGATCGAACAGATCATGACATGCTTTTCAGTTCCTGGAGGCTTCCTGTTATCCCCTCTACCAGCCAATATATTGCAATTGACAAAAAAGGATGTGGCTTCGTCAAAGAAGTGGGAATCAAATGTGGACATAGAAAATGTACAAGAACCATATGAAGGCCATGTGGCTAAAAAGGTGAAACCTGATGGTAAGAAAAAGAAGCTGTTAGATGCAAAATTCGAAGAACAAAAATGATATTAGCGCAGTTATGAGAAAGGAGATTGATATAGAAACAGTAGCTGGTCAATAGATCATATCTGAAGCTCTCAACATATCATTGCTATCTGATCCCAGAGCTATGGATGCAAAGGGTGAGAATCGACTTGAAGAGGAGCCAGCAGAAAACAACTTCGGCGGAACTAGTGATGCTCGATTGAAAGAGCGGTCCACCAAGACTGACTCCATGACTATCAAAGTGGAACCTGTCAAAGCAGAGGCGATGGAATGCTTAGAGAACAGTAGTTTTGGCAGTTCAGAAATGGATTTTTCAGCAGCGAAAGGGGAACCAAAACCCAAGACAGAAAAGGGAGAGACAACTTTAGAAGAGAGGAATACAACTAATGACAAAGACCTAATATCAGATAGGAAGCAAGAAAAGAAAATAAAACCTGAGAGTAAATGTGATGCCTTTAACTTTGAAGGTAGCAATGTTATAAACGAAAGAGCTCCAGCTGTTTCCCGCAGCATGGGAAAAGTTTCTGGTAAAGAAACTTTACCTTATGACACAAATGGGGAAAATAACTCGAAGAGTGAGGTAAAAAAAATGCGGAGAGAACAAAAGACCAACGTTTTTACGTCTTCTGATTTCCCAGTGGATTATAAACGCATCCGTTGTTCTCCATCGGTCTGTAAGCGCTGTGCAGAGACTAGTCGGTTACTGGAAGCCCGATAGGGATCTGTCGGCTCTCCAGTTGCCGATAGGTCACTACTACTCTGCAGGTGTATCGGCCTATGCAGTACCGATAGGTTCCTATCCGGCTGCGGGACTAAAAGTTACGTCGTAGCTCCATCGTTTCTACGAGATCGAAGACGGGCTAGAACAGAAGGTAAGGTGGTCTCGGCTTTCGGCTGCCAGTGCCATGGATGTTGGCCTGGCCCAGCTGGGCCCCGCTTGGGGGCTGGGGCCTAGGGGCGGTGGCACACTTTAAAAAAAATAGTGTTAGTTTTAAAAATAGTTTAAAAGATACGTTTTCATTGGGCTCTCATGTGGCTCATGACTCGGGCCTTGTTTAGATTGTAAGTTTTTTCACTCTCTCTATCACATCAAATCTTTTGACACATGCATGGAGTATTAAATGTAGATAAAAAATAACTAATTACATAGTTTGATTGTAAATTACGAGACGAATCTTTTGAGCCTAGTTAAGCCATAATTAAATAATAATTATCAAATACAAACGAAAATACTATAATACCAAATACTAATTTCTAGCTCCAACCTAAACAAACATCGGGAGCTATATTCGACATCGATAACACGGCGATGGCTTGGCTACTGGCTACTCTACCTTTGCTTGGCAGGAAGTAGCTAGTTACTAGGCCCAGTTCCGGTTGCAGTGGGCAGTGGGCAGTGGGCAGTGGAAGCCCACTCAAATCGCTGACGCGCAGCGGTTCCATATTTCCTTTCCCGACGACGACGTCTGCTGATCCGTCCTCATCCATTGCACCTTACTTTGCAGGGGGCCACTACGACCCATCACGTAGCCATACAATGCTGGTGTACTACATGCTATTAGTATTTTTTGTCCAGGCTCGCAAAGATCAATCATGCCTAATTTGGCCGCACCATATCTGTCTTAAGTAAATGCTCCTTTCTAGATATTTGCCCTGTCGGCTCTCCAGTTGCCGATGCATCACCTATCGGCAATCCAGCCACCGACAGCCTACTGCTTTTACAATTCTTTTAATCATAATACTATATTTGCAATTAATAATTAAAATACTATTTTTTTAAATAATAGTATTTTAATTATTAATTACAAATATAACATTTGGATAAAAAGAATTGTAAGAGAGTCTGTCGGCCGCTGGATTGTCGATAGGCGACCTATCGGCAACTGGAGAGACGGAGTATATCTAAAAAAAAATACGAACGACTTCTAATCTGAAATGAATGGAACTAGTCCGTCTATGCTCAAGCTCAACCTACTCCAAGACAAAAATTGAAGTAGTTCGTTGTAACGATTTTTCTTTTCTACCCACTTGCTTCGAGTTATTATATCTCATCACTTATTATATTTTATTGTTGTTGGTTTATTTATGTTCCAGCACCACATACAGCAGAGGTTATAGCAGAGGTTCTTCATGAAGTTCTCCTAGATTGACATATTGAGAGGAATCTATCCACTATAACTCTTGACAATTGTAGTGTCAATGATAACATGATAAAGACTATGATTGGCACCGATGGTGATGACCTTGCAAAGAACAAGACTGCTATGGAAGACAAGTTACCACTCCTCTCTTGTATGTTGAAGGGCAAATTAATTCATATGCGTTGTGCTGCACATATTTTAAATTTGATTGTGAAAGATTGAATGAGTGTCATGGAAAAGGGAATTGATAATGTGCGTGATTGTTGCATACTGGTCGGCCACTCTAAAAGACATGAGAAGTTTGAGAAAATGGCAGCACAAATGAAAGGAAAATATAAAAAAAGAATTGCTCTTGATTGTAAAACTAGATGGAACTCTACTTATATTATGCTTAGCACTGCACTAATTTACCAAAATGTTTTTGGGTGCCTTGCTTCTCGTGCTCCGTGTGTTCCATCTGAAGATGATTGGAAGTTTGCTAGAGAGCTTTGAGATAGGTTAAAGATGTTCTATGATGTAACTGAGCTACTATCAGGCACTAAATATGTCACAACCAACCTTTTCTTCTCCAAAATATGCAACATTTTTTTGGCAATTAGGAAGTGGCAAAGCAGTGATATTTCTAAGGTAAAAGAATATCTACTAAAATGAAAGAGATATTCAACAAGTATTGGTCAGATGTGCATGGTTTGATGGTTGTTGCTGTTATCCTAGATCCTAGGTATAAATTACAACTGTTGAATGCTCTTTTTCTCAAAATTCATGGGTTAGAAGTGTAGCTATGGAAGCTGTCAACAAAGTGAAAGACTTGTACAATTTGGTTTTGGAATACCAAGATTCTATGGAGGATGTTGCCACAACAGATGATGCTCAAACTAGACCAAGTGCTCCTACTCAGATGGATGATGAAGATTGGATTGACACTTTTGATGATTACATGTCCAAACAGCCAGCTGTGACCTCCACTTATGTGCGAACAGAGTTAGATTTGTACTTGGAAGAGCCACTGCTGTCTAGGACACAAGAGTTGGATATCATTCAGTGGCAGCAGCATGCAGGGCTCAAATATCCAACATTACGAAAAATTACACGTGATGTCCTTGCTATTCCTGTGACAACGGTGGCATCCGAGTTAGCCTTTAGCACTAGTGGGAGAATAATTAGTCAACATCGTAGTAGGCTTGCACCATCAATAATTGAGGCACTTATGTGTATGCAAGCATGGTCTCATGCTGACATGTTAGGTAAGTGCAATTTCTATAAGTATGTGGTCTTCATTCTGTATAAGTTATAAAACTAATTTGTGAATACTATATCAATGCAGGGTCTCAATCCATTTTTGTTGGTGCTTTGATGACTTGTCTTGATGAAAAAGATGAAGAAATGGTATTGATGTTTGCTTCTGTTTTCAACTTGTGAGTTTACAATGCGTTCAACATTTCAATAATGAGCTATTCGCTCTATTTTGATTTCACAGGATGAAGATGATTCCACAATAATTGATGAATGATGAACTCATCCAGCGAAGATGAATTCCCCTATTTGATAAAAAAACTCTTAATTATATTAATGTTCAAGTTATGTTATTTGTTTGGACCGTAATATGTGAACTATACTGAACTTGGGTTGCTTCTCCAGTTATGTTATTTATTTGCATGTAAACATATTCTGTACGTATGTTCTGTACATGGCTGGACACCTAGACTATGTTCTGTACATGGCTGTACGCCTGTGTATCATAGCTGCTAGCCTGCTACTTGCATGTTCTGTACATCTTTAATTGGAATAATTTGTCTACATTCATCAATTATATATCATGTTTTCTATTGCTGTCCTTGCTGATTTATTGTAATATTCTCGGGTTTTGGTTAATCCGTCGGGTTTAGGTTTTGGGGATGAATTTTCACCCGAATCGGTGTTCGAGACAGATTCGGGTTTTAGGTTTGGGTTTCAGTTTTGGGTGTCCAGACACTCCACCCGATCCGAACCCGCCCCATTGCCATTTTGACTTGCTAGCGCCTAGCCAAAGTTGCCACTGGTTTCCTCAATCCAAATGGAAAAAAATAAAAATAAAGTGGCCGGGTACTACTGGTTTTCAAAAAAAAAAACTGGAAGGAATTATACATCTTTCTTTCACGACAGAATTGTACATCTTTAAGGACATACTACACAACCGTTCCAATTAATGATTTCATAAAATAAATAAATAAATATACTACTAAAATGAAGGGCCAAAGTCTGATGACGATCCGGATGGCACACGTGCACTAAAAAGTTGCTACTATACTAGTAGTAGCTCGCAGTGTGTTTATCCACTGAGATTAGCAGCAGCCATGACTCTGATTGGAAGACGGTTCGTGGATGTGAACCACTGAGAGGCTCTCCGTGTCAGTGACAGGGACAACCAATATGCCACGCTTTGTCCTGATTCTATCAGGCTAGGATCACGTGATGTGAGGAGAGGCAGCCGGGAATTAAGCATGGCGACTTGATTATGGACGATCTTTAGTTTCTGTCACCTTTCTCTTCTCCTAATTAAGGGCTCGTTGGCAGGATTAATTGTAAAATAGATGACTAAAGTTTGGTCCAATATTATTTGATACCCATATGGACCACTAGACATAAGTTTGAGCTCTTTTACGGTGGTTGTGTAATAGATAAGTGTGGATATATTGCCTTACTTTTACCAGCGTTATCAAGAAGGAAGTGTCAAAATCATCTCAGGTACCGTGGTCACGAAGAGGCGCTCCACCCATTTAACGTCCACCAAACGAAACGAACAACCGTGAACGTCTCTGATGTTGACCCATCGCAAGAGGAGTCGTTAGTGGAAGCTAGGTAGCAAGGGACATTGCACACGCCAGTAGTCTCATCCAGGAGGGTAGCTAGGAACGTTTAAGGATCTGTTTTGCAGAGCTGTCGGAGCAGCTTTCTAGCTGGATTTAGAAGGTAAATAGTTTTTTTCACCGATTAGGCTACGTTTGATACAAAATATTTTGAGAGTTTTAGAAAAATACCATGGTTTTATGAAAATACTTTAGTTTTGGAGTGCCATGAAGTGTTTGGGTTCAACAAATTTTATGGCTTTGAATATCATGGTATTGCTGAAATTGTAGTCTTTTTGGAGTTTTAAAAACTCCACTCTAGACCTCTTTTTTCTAAACTACGATTTTGCACATCAATGATTCTAAAACTACAGTTTCTTGATACTATGTTTTTTAATACTACAACATCAAACAAGACCTAAATGATTTTTATGTAATTATGTGAAGTGACTCTGAAATAAACTAGAAAAACTAGAAGCTGAAAAATAGCTTCTCATTAACTCCACATACATCATCATTATATATAGTTTAGGTGGTGTTTAAATCCAACGCTAAAGTTTAGGGGTGTCACATCGGGTGTCACATGGAAGTGTTCAGATACTAATAATAAAACAAATTACAGAAGTCCTCGGGAATCCGGAAGACGAATTTATTAAGCCTAATTAATCCGTCGCTATCACATGTTACTGTAGTTACTGTAGCACTACATTGTCAAATCATGGACTATATTTATAATCGCAATATGTGCAATTAGTTATTTTTATAGTCTATATTTAATACTCCATATATGTGTCTAAACATACGATGTGATATGGACTAAACTTTAGGTGATGAACTAAACGAGGCCTTATTTATCCTAGAGAATCATAGAAAAATATTTTAGCCAAATAATCAGTTTTATGATGCAGGAGAAGCTCTGCCAAATACTAGGTCTTACTTTGTAGCATCCGGTTTTAAAGACAAAATCAGATACACACTATATGTGAGCTTAGAAAGTCAAATCTCATATATAGCCACAAATAAGGGTAATATCAAGAGACAATACTTATTACATAACGTATTAGTAAAAGGAATATAACCTCAGAGTAAAGACGGCGGAAAGATAACTCCGATCTTCAGGCGAAGACTCCAAATCCACAGAGACGACTGACTGGTTGACCACAAGCCTAACTCCTCGAAACCAGCAATCTGCTACCCATCCGGGATTTCTATTAGACGTAAAGCAAGTGTAAGCTCACCATGCTTAGCAAGTATATCAAAGGGATCTATGAGGCTCAAAAGGCTTGACACTGTTTGACTGCGGTTCGTAATTTTAGTTGATCAAATTTTAGCATCCTAATCACTACTTTGATGAACAATCCCAATTCCCAAGTGATATTAAAGTATGGTCAAGTTTATCTCAATTCCCAACCTTCCACCATCCACAGTAACCACTAATCTTGAAGGATTCAGACCGCTCGTATCCGTGAGCACGGCTGTTATAACAGATTAAATATTTCTGTAGAAATTGTACATCTTTACCCACCGAGCCGTGATTCCCAATGCCGAAGTTTGCAAGGCCCACTACACCTCTTCCCAGGAAGTGTGGCAGGGTTTCACTATGAAACCTTTAGCTAGTTGCACCAACAAGTCGTAGCTACAAAGGAGTGGCACACGTGGGCATCGTAGCACGGTACACACCCTAGCAGAAAAAGGAAAGATACCCTCTTACCCTTACTAGAGCTACAGACAAGATAGTACAATCTAGTTAACATGTTAAAGTCAGAGCCATATGACACTCGGGGTTGCATGGAATCTCTTGGGTTACCGCTTCAGGATTAAGTCCTTATGGAGAGGCACTAGAGTACTCAACCCCGTACTCTAGCCCCCTATCAATTACTACAAAGCTTCATTTTATCACATTGCATATAGCCTTTAGTCATGTTTAACAATTATTTTATGTTAAGCGCTGCAGCATCTAACCAAAATGCCTACCCAAAAACCCTAGGTATCAAGGATATGTGGTATAAGTAATCATCTAGGTAAAGTCCTTAAAGGTATTTCAAATTAGACACATGCATGAATATGAATGGTAATAGTTCATAGGTAACAAGGGGCATTTGGTACACTTGCCTTAAATACCGATCATTCGGTAAGCTTTAATCTTCAACGTCCTTCTTCTTCTTCTGGATCACCACGTATATCTCAGCGGCTGGACGTAATCGTAGAACACCACACAAACATCCATACACATACATGCATATCATACAATTGCATCTATATCAGAACAGTACACCAATCATAGAAAAATAAGTAAAAGAGATTGAGATACGATTCTACGCATCGCTACGAACACACAGTCGCGAGAGGCACGCTAATCGGAGCTACTGTTGAAAAGTTACAACTACCGAGAGATTTGCTTTATACGTGGAAAAGAAAACTATAGGCTTTATTTATTTTAACTATATAAGTCCATATAAGATATTTTATAAATAATATAGATTGAATTAAGTCAATTTTAGATTTGAATTATAAAACTAAAGTAAAACAAATCATATTTTATTTATGAAATCCAGTTACATAATCATTAATCAAGATATGATTTAAACCATGATTTTTCTGAAATAGTAATATAGTAAACACTATTACTATTGCGTAGATCTCGTCATTATGAATCTAACGCAACTTGAACAGACTATTTTAGAGTTAAAATGAATAAGTTATGATTTAAACAAATTTTCCTATAGTTAAATAATAGATTAAATCTACCCATGAATTTTAGATATTGAAAACATGCCTAATAGTACTATAAACATGTAGAAAACGTAAATACGGTCCTAACGCAATTCGAACGGGTCAAATCGGACTTAAAACGCAAAAGTTACGCATGAAATAACGTTCAATGACATTTCTGTAATTAATTGAACTCAAATTTGAATTTAAACTAATTAATTATGAATTTTAAATGCTAACCGGACTGCGGGCACTAATACTCAAAACTACAGGGGCTAAAACAGAATAAAACAGGACCTAAAAGAAATTATGTTGAACTGATTTGGATTGCGGGTTGATTCACCGAAAACAGGGGGGCTATTCTGCAAAAATGGGCGCGGCTTGACTGCGATTGACTCGGCTGCTGACTCATCCGACACGTGGCGTGCTCCGGTTGGCGCGGTGCACCACGCGGCGTGGGCGTGCGCTGACGCAGGCACGGTGGACCGAGTCCACGGCCCACGGTGGACCGATTACACACTAAAACGGTGCGATCTAATCTCAGCCGTCCGTGCAAGATCCGGCGGTGAGGGACGCTTGGGATACCTTCCAGCGTCAGCACAGCGGCTCCGGCGAGCTTGCCATTGCCGGCGGCGAGCCGAGCTCGGTGGCGGACGTTGGGAGGGCGTTCCGAACCTCCCCGGAGCAAACCGAAGGCATCTACGTGACGCGCGGAACCTCGCGAACTCTATGGCGTACCTAATGGGGACAGGGATCTCGTCGAGGCAACGATCCGCGGCGGTGCCATGGTCGGCGGCTCGGGTGCTCGCTGCTACGGCGTTCTAGGGCACCAAATGATGAACAAATGGCACGGGAAGACGGAGAAGCTCACCACGATGCGTATGGAGGTGGTTACGGCGTCCAGGAAGGCTTCGGAGTGACCAACGACGGCGACGGCGGCTGGAGTGGCGCGGGTGAGAGGAAATCGGAGCAAATCATGGCCGAAACATGAAATTGGAGGTACCTATGGCTGCTTCGGGTCACGACGAATCACACGGGCGCGTCGGCGTCGAGGTAAGGGCGTTGGTCGACGTATTGCGGCGGCGGGGAGTGCGAGCTCGAGCGGCGGTCGGAGAAAAGAGAGAGGGAGGGGGGGTCGAGCTCGGGTTTTATAGGCTGGACGGGCGCGGCGTAGAAGGAAGGGGAGCGAGGCGCTCGGTGATTACGGCGCTTTCCATGTAGGCGCGGGCGCGGCGGCTTGCCGAGCATGGCAACGCCATCGGCGGGCAGCTAGGAAGGAAAGGAAGCGGGGAAGAAAAGGAAAGAAGGAAAAGGAAGGGGACGACGGGCGTGCGGGCGGCTGATAGGCGGGGCCAACGTCACAGCGGGGAGAAGGGAAGCGCGTGCGGGTGCGCGCTGATGAGCGGGCCAGCATCGCAGCGAGAGAGAGAAGAGGGAGCGGACGGGCGCGGGAGCTACGGGCCGCGGTGCCAAGCCGGGCCGCGCGGTAGTGGGCTGTCGAGCGCGCGCGTGTGGGCGAAGCCGAAATGCGAGGAGGCCGTAAGCAGTGGGCCGGTGCGGGAGAAAGCGGGAAGGAGGGGGAGGCGCGCGGAGCGGGCCACCGAGTGGGCTGGGGTGGGGCAGGCTGGCGCGCTGGAAAAGGAGAAGGGAGGGGGAGTGCGGCTGGGCCGCCGGGCAGGCCAAGCCAGGAAGAGAAGGAGAAAAGAGGGCCGGGCCAGTTCCTGGAGTTGGGCTGAAAAGGAAGAAAGAAAGAATTTTCAAAAACAAATCATTTTCTATTTCTAATTTTCAAATATAAGCAAAATTCAAATCAAATTCAAGTATGATTTTAAATATACTTCCCCATTCAAATAGACAATTTTGTTAGGCTTCCCAAGATAAACTTTAAAAAAATACTTTTATTTTTTTATTTTTTTTATTTTTTTTCTTTTATTTCAAAGCCATTTTCAAACCCTTTTAAAAAATATTCCAATTTACTTTGGAGTTGGATCACACCATTCATCACAATAAATAAAATGCAACAGCATGTATGCTCACACTTGTTACTACCTTATGATGAATTTTAAATTAATGAAATTTTTTATTTTTCTATATTTTATGTGCACAAAAATTCATAAATAAATCATTTTAGCTATATTTCAAAAGAGACAAATTTTAGGGTGTTACATACTACCTCCGTCCTGAAAAGAATGCAACTATGTGTTGCATGTCACGAAAAGTGATTCACCTTTGATCAAGTTTTTCAGTGAATAATATTTATAGTTATGTCTTTGAATTAATTTATTATGAAAATATATTTCGTAATTAATCTGATGGTATTTATTTGGTATCATAAACATGGATACCTTTTGATAATAATTAATCAAACTTAAGGTATTAAAACGTGATACTGTGCTAGAATTATATTCTTTTAGGGATGGAGGTAGCAAGTTGCATGGTAACATCCACATTGCACGACCAGTCCTATCGCCTTAAATTTTCAGCTCACAAGATTGGATGCCTAAAAAAATATTGTAAAAGACGACTTAAAAAATAGCATAACTATACTAGACAATACGGTTGGCTTCACCGGTGTTTAAATAAAAGGAGCAAATAGAAGCTAATGCCATATACTCCCTCTGCCCAAAATTAAATCAACTCTCAACATTATAAACCAATCCGTAACATTTATAATCTAAAATGAGTATATACTTTAAAAATATTTTTTGTGGTGACATGCCATCAGTACTGATACTTTTAATTTATTTTGAGCCGGCACGAAGCGGTCGTGTTTGTTAAGTAGAGCACTCGCAATTTGTGTTCGAGATCTGCCCCACAGGTTTTCGCACTAGGGTTTTCTTCATTTTCTTCGTAGTCTCAACCTCCTATGATCCATAATGGCTAAGGTGTCATACCCATCAACGTTGAGTCTAGTGATATAGCCGTGCGTGTGCCTTTAGCTATCTGTGTAGGTTTAACCTGTACACAGGATGTGTATAAGCACGTGTGTGACACAACCGTGTGTGTGTGTGTGTGGTGAGTTTAGATACTACAGCTACAGCTAGTAGCAGGAAAAAAAAGCTATAAAGGAGGCCGTTGCAACGCTTAACCGCACTCCAAGTCTACTTAAGCAAGAAACACGTGCACCAAAATCCTCTCCTCCTGTCAGGCGTCAGCCCAGCCGTCACGCCGTCACCCGCAAGCAAGAGACCCAAGGGCCGAACGGACATTCCCAGTATTCGCTGCTTCGCTCTCATCCTCAAGACCAAAGCGAAAAGCCGCGGGGAAAGGGGAAAAAAAGAGCCGCGGGCCGCGCAGCAGCCCAAAAAGAAAACCAGCGTCCGGCAAGGCTGGCCACCGCCGCCTGTCCCTCCCAGCAGGCGTCCAGTCCAGGCCACCCAGCTAGCCAGGTCTACCAAACAGAAACGGGCAGGGGAGGCGAACGCGAACGCGAACGGCGAACGCAAGACTACCGAGTACCGAGGCTGAGAAGAGTACCGAGTACCGAGGGAGGCAACCGCAAAAAGGCTGGCTGGCTCGCCAGCTTCCGCAAGACCAATTAAAAATTAAAATTTATTCTCGCGTGCGACGAAACCTCGAGACGCCGAGGCAGACAAGGGAAGGGGGTCAGAGAGAGAGGAGAGAGACCGAGGGCTAGCCTGGGAGGGAAGGAGGGAAGGAGGGAGGGAGCCCGCGTCCGAATCTCGCGATCCCCAATCCGGAGGCCTCGATTCGCCGATCCGGGCGCGGCAGGGGGAGAGATCCCGCCGATCGGGGAGCTCGTGCTGCTCCGATTCGAGCTCGCTCCCTGCTCTGCTTGCGCGGGGCGGCCGCCCTTCCTGCTGAGGTCGCCCGCCTCCGCGCCGGGCCGCCGGGAGCTGCTGTGTGCTGCCTGGTGGTAGAGGGTAGGTGGTTAGGCGAGGCGAGGCGGGGTGGACCCGGTGGATGCTGTCCGTGAGGCGGCGGCAGGAGGATGCGGGCGTCCGCGTAGCGGCAGCAGCGCAGGCGCAGCAGCCCCGTGGCGGACTCCGCATGGACGACGACGCCGAGCTCGAGGAGGGGGAGGCCTGCGGGGACGACACCGCCTTCGTCGACCCCGACGTCGCGCTCTCTTACATTGTGAGTCGCTCTCGCCGCGCCTCGCCCCACCTCCAGCAATGTCGCGGCTCTGTCCCTGCTTCCGGGCACGCTGCACTGATTCTAGGTCATTTGCCCGCATCGTCCGGTCGGGTAGACGCGCGTCCGATTTAGTGCTGTCGCTTGTTTTGTAGCTCCGATTATTATAGAAAGCGAATTAAGTGGTCTGTTTCGGTTTCTCCCTTGCTTCATGCGACCGGAGGAATGGTACTTTACCACCACAAGCAATTGCTTAGCTGGATCACTTAGGAACTTGCTCGATCTGTTGTTTTGGCTGATAGGAATGGGGTACTACTGGAAGGAAGCAGGCAATTGCGTTGCTGGGTCATTTACTCTTTTCTTTCCTCACTTGGTTACTTGCCTGGAGGTTAGGATGCTAAATTAGTCAAGTAAGTACTATGGGTGACGCTGGTATGATGGAAATGGAAATGGAAAGAAAAGCTGCTCTCTTGGTTTGTCCTGGCGTTTGTTAGGTACCCACTAGTGATTTGGCTGCTCTCTCTGTGAGATTACACTTAAGGTTTTTATTTTTGGAATGCGCCAGTTTTGAGTGTGGTACAGTGGGGGATCAGTCTTATCTATCCTCCTGCCGTTTCTACTCCCTTCAACTACAATACCAAAGTCATACAGCTAGTATTACTGTCCTACTTGGATAAGTTTCTGCAAGTCGTGACAGTGGGATCGTGTGCTTCCTTGAGAGTGTCTTTTTTTTTTTGCAGCGGTAGATCCTGTAACGCCTTTCGGTCTACGATGCTCCCATGCGTTACTGAGACCTGTCCTTGTTTTGAGCTCAAGTCAATCTTTATACACTTGTAACTCCAAACTTCTAACACGAAGTACATGCTGTATATGAAACTCTGTTTGTCCAGAAGAAAGGTTAAGAGAAAGAAGATACATGAATGTTGTATACTTGACCAAATTTTGGTAACGGTAGCATACTTTTTAGTCTATTTGAAAAATGACATATTCAGGTTATTTGAATGGAGTAGCTGTAATTCTAGCCTTGTCTTATGCAGTTCACCGTCTTTAGGGTGACTCCAGCTTGAAAGGAAGTCACAAGCAAGGCACCAATTTTGGGTTTAAGATTTATACTGTATACCGTACCACCAGTCAATTTTGCTGTAACATTTCTTTGTATCCTATGGTTTGCATGTTTCAGGACGAAAAACTTCAAGATGTACTTGGCCATTTTCAGAAAGACTTCGAAGGAGGCGTATCTGCAGAGAATCTAGGTGGGGATATGTGAACAGTCACTGTATCGGCTTGATTTGGGTTCATTATAGATAAACATTAAGAAGAACTTTAATCTTTGACAGGGTCGAAATTTGGTGGATATGGTTCATTTTTACCTACATACCAGCGCTCTCCTCTTCCTCAAACTAGAAGTCCACCTAAGGCAGCAAATGTTACCTCAAAATCTCCCTTTCACCAGTCTAGTGAGGTGCCTAAGGTTCTGTTGGCTGTGATTATCTACTGTCGTAGAACAGTGTTATCATGAACATGCTCTCGTCTGGCATTGATGATGTAATGATTTGTAATGTAGGGCATGTCTCAAAAACCTCTGGCTGTGGCTGTTTCGTCTACCCCCCAAAGTAATGGTCCTATGGTGCCTTTTTCTGGTGATTCAATTAAAAAGGAAATACGCCCAACCACAAAGGCGGAAAGGGGTTCCGTCTCCCATGATTCATACGGACCATCGAAATCCAGTGACCAAAATAGACTTAAAGTCCGGATAAAAGTTGGCTCTGATAATGTTGTGGCAAGAAACAATGCGGCTATCTACAGTGGTCTGGGCCTTGATATTTCTTCACCTTCATCCATCGAGGATAGCCCCGATGGCTGTGGGAGCCTATCCCCTGAAGTTAACAATGTGCCACATGAATCCCCACAAACCATTCTTCAGGTAAATTTTTCTGGTATAGCACAACTACACAAGGTCTTTATACTTCTATTCCATTGCCCATAGTAAAAGGGGGTTGATGACAAGTTTCATTTCAATGATCGAACAGATCATGACATGCTTTTCAGTTCCTGGAGGCTTCCTGTTATCCCCTCTACCAGCCAATATATTGCAATTGACAAAAAAGGTTGTGGCTTCGTCAAAGAAGTGGGAATCAAATGTGGACATAGAAAATGTACAAGAACCATATGAAGGCCATGTGGCTAAAAAGGTGAAACCTGATGGTAAGAAAAAGAAGCTGATAGATGCAAAAAATTCAAAGAACAAAAATGATATTAGTGCAGTTATGAGAAAGGAGATTGATATAGAAACAGTAGCTGGTCAAAAGATCATATCTGAAGCTCTCAACATATCATTGCTATCTGATCCCAGAGCTATGGATGCAAAAGGTGAGAATCGACTTGAAGAGGAGCCAGCAGAAAACAACTTCGGCAGAACTAGAGATGCTCGATTGAAAGAGCGGTCCACCAAGACTGACTCCATGACTATCAAAGTGGAACCTGTCAAAGCAGAGGCGATGGAATGCTTAGAGAACAGTAGTTTTGGCAGTTCAGAAATGGATTTTTCAGCAGCGAAAGGGGAACCAAAACCCAAGACAGAAAAGGGAGAGACAACTTTAGAAGAGAGGAATACAACTAATGACAAAGACCTAATATCAGATAGGAAGCAAGAAAAGAAAATAAAACCTGAGAGTAAATGTGATGCCTTTAACTTTGAAGGTAGCAATGTTATAAACGAAAGAGCTCCAGCTGTTTCCCGGAGCATGGGAAAAGTTTCTGCTTTTTACCTTATGACACAAATGGGGAAAATAACTCCAAGAGTGAGGTCAAAAAAATCCAGAGAGAACAAAAGACCAACGTTTCTATGTCTTCTGATTTCCTGGAGGATGAGAAACACATTCATTGTTCTGCTGCAGTTAAGGAGAGGAAAAGTGACATGCAGTCCAAATCTAGCCATACTGGAAAGAAACCCAAAGCAAAATCACATAGAGGTGTTAGGGACAACTTGCCCGGAGGATCTTATGGAAGCAAGGAACAGGACACATTGGAGAATGAAAGTGCCTTTGGAGATACTCGACCAAAGGAAAATCCATGGAAATATGACAGCGAGAGGGATTCTGATGCACCTGGGATCTCGAGGAGGGAGATTTCTTCTAGTGTAAAGCATGACAAGCACTTGCCTTCTGAGGAGCAGAAGATGCATATACCTCCACCTGCCACTGTATCAACTGCAAATGCAGCTCCTACACATGCAGCCCCAGTTGTAATAGAGGAACATTGGGTGAGCTGTGACATATGCGATAAATGGCGTCTCCTACCTTATGAAATGAATCCTTTAAATCTTCCTAAGAAGTGGAAATGTAGCATGCTACATTGGCTGTAAGTTTCAGTCCATTCATACTTTCCAGTTTCCACATCGTGGATGTTTTATAATTTTTAGATATTTTCTGCTCAATCTTCTTTTTGTGCTTTTTTTGAGGGAAATCTTCTTTTTGTGCTTGTTTCTGTATGCTGTTCCTTGTTTCCTTTGTCTAACGTCAGTGTATGAACTAGGTAACAATGTAACTAGTGCCATCTTACCTGTCTGGGGTTGGTTGGTTTGATGCGTTTAAACCACTACAGTTTGCATAGGAATTTTCAGAACACAGAAGACCCATTCTGATAAAACATATGTTTGGAATTTTGGTAGATCTTACTGCATGAATCTTTGTGCTCAATTACATCGTCCTATCAAAGTTGTTATCCAGTGACCCCCATTGCTATGTTCAATTTGACATCTTATCAGTTGTGCTGAACTTCATGAATTCTGATAATTATAAGCCTAGATATTTATTTTCATTTTTTTAATTTTGATATTTTATAGAGGTACTGATACCTTAAGTTTAAAGAGTTGACTACATGGGACTAAAGGCCAAAACAATCTTCACTTTCTTGTGTGTCTGGAGAGTATTTTATGTGCACATGCCATGCTTATCCCCTATAAAAATATTTGAACTGCTCTACATCTTTCATATCATTAAAATCCTGGGTTGCCGCCTATATTTGAGTCCCTTCCGACTCAAATTTGGGTGTCTTTTTTCTCAAATGTTTTTTCATCAGGGCCTAGATAATTGGGAAACTCTTAACTGCTACTCTTAAAGTTAGAAAGGTGGTATGCTGGGATGTAAGAGCAACAGAATATTTCTCTATGTTCATGTGTGATGGACACTGATGATTCCTTGCTGAAATTAGATTACTTGAATCTTTTACAGACCTGGGATGAATAGGTGTGAGATTAGTGAAGAGGAGACTACGAATGCTCTGAATGCACTTTATGTCCCTGCCCCTGCAAATGGTATTCCTGCAGTTGGTCATCCTCATGTTGCTTCATCAGGACTAGTAACATCCAGCACTCCCAATATGAATGGACATATTGAGCAGAATAGAAAAAGAAAAAATGTTCTAAGTGATGGAAATTTTGTGGCTGAGGGTTCTCACCAAACACAGGGTTCAGGTCATCCAATGAGCAACCAACATGCTCCTAGTAAAAGTAAAACTTATACTGATGGTATCCAGTATCCGATTGAGAGAGATTCTGTAAGCAAATCGGTTGACCCAACAATTGAAAAGAAAAGGTCCAAGAGCAAGCATCACAGTAGCTATTCTGATGGAGGTTCTATACTCTTTCTTCCTTATTATTTCAGTTTACCTAACCTACTATATTTCTTACCTCATTTTATACATGTATCTATGTTTCTTTGCTGACATATTTTCTTGACCAAACTTAGGAGATCTTGTTGACAGATCTAAGAAGCATTCTAAAGTAAAAAGCAAGAGAGACTTGGATCGTGATGAATACAAAGCTTCTAAGAAAATTAGGAAAGAAGAGCGACGCCATTCTGATAGAGATTGGAACCTTGGATCTGATTTAGCTAGTGGAGATGTTCCTGATGAGGCCAAGACTTTGCCTGTGAAGTCAGCAACCTCAAAGGGTTCAGGTGAAAGGAGTGATCTTTCTTCATCAAAGCAAAAAAGTATCTCATGGCATAACCGTTTGGAAAATTCCAAGAGAGCAAGGCAAGATGATGTAGTTGTTCCTGAAGACGAGAGCAAGGAATATTTTCACCAGTCAGATGTACAAAGATCAGATTTGTCTAGTAAGAAGAGGATAGTGAAGGAATGGGAGGAGAGTCAGTACAATCCAGTAGCTCATGTAAGCAAAGGAACTATCAAGGAAACCTATAGGGATCAGAACTTAAAGGAAGCAAAGTTGAAGTCATTGAATTCTGAAGAACTGTTTTCTATGACGAGCTCCAAACCACCAAAAGCTCAACATGCTGATCAGGTTTTGTCTCATGATGGGGGGCGTATGAACAGCGAGTTAGTTGAGGATAACACACTCTTTAGTGGCAAAAGAGGTCTGCCTGAACAAGAAAAGAGCCTTTCTGATCAGGCTTTGGACTTGGGTGAACCTGCTAGTGATGTTGCCTATATTCAGACTTCAGCTGTAACTTCAAGTTCTTCAAAGGCTTCAGTCTCACAAAAAAAGAAGCAGACCACTCAAGCTATGAAGACTTCGCCAATTGAGCCTCTTTCTTCATCATCACAGAGAAACTCCAACATTGACAAGGTCTCTGTCTCTCATAGTAGAATTTCAGGTAAGGATGGATCTCTGAATGCTAACTCAACCACTGTGCCGACCATGGCAAAACAACTAAATACTGAAGTTGGTGTAGCAGGCAATGATCAACGGTCTAGTGAACCTGTTTCGGTTGGTTCTTCCCGAAGAAAATCTGATAGAGATAATGGACAGGTTCAGTTAACTCAAGGTCATGCCTCTGATGGTATTCATCTTGAAAGGGGTTTGAATGAGGACCTGCAGCCTGAATCTGGGAGAAAGGATTCCAATGTAAAGAGCTCCCATATTCCTAAAGGTTCTCACCATTTGCATTCTGGTGAAAAAAATAACTATAATACAGATGGCTCTCCTATGCAATCAGGAAAGCATCCTGTTGATCCAAAGACATCAGTCTTGGATAAAGGTGATTCAAGTATGCATGAAAATAACAAAAGCACAAATTCTCATCAGGATAGAAATGGATCAACTCATTGCCCACCAGATGGAAATCCTCTGCTCGGTTTACGATCTGGAAAAGAGAAATCATATCTCAAGAGCAACAAGCAAGATTCACAGAAGCCTAAACCCCAGATGGTCTGCTCACCTCAGAAAGAAAGCAAATTAGATTCCCATTCCACTCCATTAAAACCTAATGGGTCAAAATTGACTCCACAATCAAGACAATACAATGCTGAAAATGGAGGGCGACATGGCACTGCAAAACATGCAATTCCTAGTCCTGCTGATACTTCTAGTCCAGCTATGAAGGACAATACTTCAACTGCATATGCTCTCAAAGAAGCCCGGGATTTAAAGCATAAGGCGAATCGTTTGAAGGTGGTTCTCTTTTGTTTTGCTCTTACAATTTGATACTATGCCTGTACGACTACTTCACTCTTATATTAGCTTTTATCTTATAAGGTTCTCACCAATTTTCTCTGCAGGGAGAAGGAAAAGAGCTTGAAAGTACAAGACTCTACTTTGAGGCTGCCTTAAAATTTTTGCATGTTGCATCACTTTTGGAACCTCCTAGCTTTGATGGTTTCAAACAAGGGGATGCAGCCCAGAGCATGTATTCAGATACTGCAAAACTTTGCAAGTAAGCTACTCTAATATATATGATGTCTGTACCAGGCAATTCCATTTGCATAAGGAAACATGACCATAATAATATTAGAATCATGACTTCTCTTGTGACCTCATGTACATTTAAATGCTTGTTTAGAATTAGCAGCATGACTTGATGACATTAAAATATCAATACATTTGATTTTTTGATATGTAATTCCATTCTGGACTACGCTTATATTTTCCTTCAAGTACATTGCTTCAAGAACCAGGTTGCACTGTGAATAAATGATTGTGGAGTGTACCTCCCCAGGTTATAAATTGCATTGTTGGGCCTTGAATTGAAGTGCTTCTGCATAGCCTGACTTGTATGGGTAGTACCACTTGATTAACTGAATGTGTTCAAAGTAAAGTTGATTAACCCGATAACATTCACTGTGTAATTTACATGATGGTTACAAGTAGATGTGTAAAATGATGCCTTACTGGCAATTGTTGTTCAATTGGACCTAGGCCAAATTGGTACAATCATCATTGCTTGCCCCTAAAAAGTTTTAGATGATACTTCTATCAAATTATAATCTATACTTTTGGTTTTGTTTAACATTGCTCAAATTTGGTCGCAATATTAAGTGTCCATTTGATTTCCAGCTTTGTTGGTCATGCATATGAAAAATGCAAGAAGATGGCTGCTGCTGCTTTAGCATACAAGTGTGTTGAAGTTGCTTATCTGAAGGCTGCATACTACAAACACCCAACTGCAAGCAAGGATAGACAAGTGTTACAGGCAGTTGTACAGACTGCACCAGGTACATGATGTCTAAATGAGGAAATTTTAGTGTTATATCCCATTGTGTGAATCCTTCAAATGTTCTTCGTATACTTAGATGATTTTCTAGTAAGGTGGTTCAAACCCATTATATTAGTCATGCATTAAAAAAAATCAGATTGTCATCAGTTTATTTAGGTCAGCTCATATCAATGGAATTGGGGATATAATATGTGATTGTTGTAGCTAGGCAAGGACCAGGTCTTTTTTAATATTTGATTTTTCATCCTGCATCTAAACTGGAATGCAGAGTCTTTGCCAGAAGGTGCTAGATGCATTGTCTGAGTTGGCATGATATCCTCAAAACACATGTAGTACTAGTATAGTAGATCACGTTTCTGGTTATTTTGCTTTGTGTATTTTTTGAAAGCCCTTCTATTAACTCTGTGTATTTATTCAGCTATTATGATCACAGTTCAGTTCAAAATCATTTGAGTTTCTATAGATGAAGTGATAGACAAAGCTGAGCTTAATGTGGCGTTTTCTACTCATATATGATGTCCAATGTTTGCATCCATTGCTCACAACCCTGTTACATGCACAAGTGAAAATGATGGTTTCCTAGCAGTCGTGAGTTTTCCTAGTGATGGGTATGTCTTGCACGTAGTAGAAATCCTCTTTTCACCTCAGTAGTCTAGTCTTGATTGAAAAACAGTCAAAATGCTTAGAAAATATATTCTGTAGGTTATAGCTTCCTTTTCCTGCTAGGTTGCATCCACAAGTGAAAAAAAGTGATAGTTTCCTCTCTGTCACGAGTATTCCTAGTGAAGTGTATGTCTTGCACATAACTGAAATATTTTTTTCTCCTTGTTAACCAAGTCCCTATTGAAAAGGTTCATGTTGCCATTTCATTGTTATTTCTTATCTGTTATAAAAATTTTCTGGTTGACACTGTATGGATCTTCCTTTCTCTCTCTTTCTTACTCTTGATCATATTTTTTGTAGGTGAATCACCATCATCTTCAGCCTCAGACATTGATAATTTAAATAACAATGGATTATCCAAGGGCTCTTCAAGCAAGGATGCTAATTCGCCACAAGTGGCTGGAAATCATTTGTTGCTGGCCTCTCGAAATCAACCACACTTGATGCGGTTACTAGCTTATGTAAGTTGTTAGATATCTTGATAGGCAGTCCAAACAATGTACCTGCTTACAACATGCCTTAGTTTTCATGATTTCGAAGATAGTTCATAATCTGTGGACTATGCAATAAGATAAAATGTTTTGTTGGTATCATATGCCTACTCAGCTACTCTTTGGATTTGTGTTCTGAGTCTTATCAATGGTCTGAGACTATGTGGTGCCACTGCTATTTCACTGCTTGGGGTCCTTAATTTAGTGCTGCATATTACTACCACGTTCATTGGATAAAATGAATCATCATCTGATTCTCGTACTTGCATGACAATTGTGTTATTTTGGATTTTCGTTTTGCTGTAGTTAGATCACTCACTGACATCCTATGCAGTTTTATAGCTAACTAAAATTGATAATTTTGAAGTTAGAATTGGCATTGAATCTTTGTTTTCTCAGTGTCCCAGGATGTAGAACCAGACTAATACCTCATACGTTAATGTTATGCCACTTTTCAATCGTTAAGGTTCATAAATTCTATATGGGATCTAATGTTTCTTTGGTTTTCATAGACAAATGATGTCAATAGTGCCTTTGAGGCTACTCGGAAGTCACAAATGGCAATTGCTTCTGCTGCTGGCAATCATGAAAATGGAGATGATGGTCTTTCTTCAGTAAAAACAGTACTGGATTTTAACTTCCGAAGTGTGAATGATCTACTAAGGCTTGTGCGGATTTCAATGGAGGCTATCAGCTGCTGACGTGTTCAGAATCTGAGAAAATGCCATCCAATGAAAGTTCCTGTTGCATGTTTAATCCAGTTAACTTTGTTCTTGATGAAGTAGCATGAAGCTGAATAGTTCAACAGTGCAAATGCATAGGTCTTCTCGTTTGAGCTTGCTGGTCAATTTGTACAGAGACTGATCATGGAATTCTTCTTCCTTTTTTACTTTGATGATGATACCCAGTTAGTATACATAGTTGCATATCCACTTGGATGATTTAGTTAGTGAGGGACACAAGTGAAGATGAGCTTCACGCTGCTCAACGCTTGTAATAGTTCAGAGGAAGAAGGATGCTCTTGCGCCTGCGGTTGATGATTCATTGTTATCTGGAAAGTAGCTTGCTACTGAGCATTCTCTTCCTACATGATGTAAATTGTGAATCTCCATCAAGGCTGGCTTATGGCTGAAGAGTGAAGAGTCAGTATCATAGTTTCCTTTGAGCAGTACAAGATGATGTGTCGCCACTTGACAATTTTGATGGTAATTCTTAGTTAAGGACAAATGAATTCTGTGCCTTTTTTAAGTGCTACTCCTTGATGCTGCTATCTTTATTTTTGAGCAGGGAGAGGACAGCTAAGCCAACTAATTGTGCTAACCAAGAAATCGGCTAGTAGTTTTTTTTTTTCTTTTCAACCTTGCCATGATGCCATGTCTTCTGGATAAAGTTCATGCAGGTATCTTTACAAATATAATACTGCTATCGTTAATGGGATTGTACATATCTATATTTGCTCTTTACTTGAAGTATTTTGAAATGAAATTGAGTTCTAGTTTACTGAATAGATCTGCTGCTATGGTGCAAAGTGAAAAAAGTGACCAGTAAGAGCATTTGCTGATACTACTAACTCATTATGGACTTAGGGTCTTGTCCAACCTTGAATTATACCATTTGATATGTGTTTCCTTTTGCTGAAATCAGAGTTAACAATTTCTCCATTCTGTATGGCTTGCTTTCAGTTGTTGTAACTTGTTTTCTTTAGAATTAAACTTCAATGCTGCATGCACAATCAGCTGCTTTTATTCTCATGAATGGGGTACTTATAACTTTTACTTAATATCTAGCGTTTAATTTTTTTTTTGCAGTTGTTAGCTTTAATTTATAGAAAGAACTAATGTTCAGTTATAGAAGTGAAGAACTTCTACTGATGCAGTGAATTTCTTTTGCAGGTTTCAAATAAGAAATCACTTGGACTATCAGACTTGTATGGATGTTGTACAAAGATTTCTAATGTACATTAGTCTAACCTTTTTTTTTCATGATCATCGATACGCCGACTGTCACCAGCGCATGTAAATGTATATACACACACATTAAAGGTGGGGGCATTTGTTACCACGTGCTGGTCTCTATGTATGACGCCTTTGGTTCTGCCAAGCTTTTTAGTCTTTCTCTATTCTTCAAATTTTGTGACATTTAGTTGTTTATTAAGATAGATAGCGTGGTTCTGCCAAGCTTTTTAGTCTTTCTCTATTCTTCAAATTTTGTGACATTTAGTTGTTTATTAAGATAGATAGCGTCTAGTACTGGGAATTTGTTGCAGAATGCAAAATAAATTCCGTGCTGTACAACTTGTAGCATAACTTGAGTTTCAGGTGTCGTTGAGTAAAGTGATGCTAACTGCTCGCCGAATTTGCACTATGTAATCCTCTTAATGTTGGCCTAATGTTGGGTCTGCGGATGCTGATCGAGGCCAGGACATAATTCTGATGCAAAATTCGAGCTGGTCTTTTACTAAGTCGCAACTGGATGAAATTCACATAGCTGTTTGAATGGAATTTTTAGTTCCCATTTCGCTTTGCAGTGATACATATGATGGCTTTTCTGAACATTATCTATTTTTAAAAAATGATGCACACATCTCGTCGATGGCCAAACATCTGTGCTTACCTGCCAGATGCTGCACTTTCCAGACTCTAAATTGATTCGAGACATCAAACGCGGCATTCCATCTCGACCTGTAGACAGTTCTTCAAAAGCTTCATCTCCCAGCCTAGCCCCTCGGCCACTCGGTATATCTCTTCCGTCCGCGGGTGCGTCGTGTCGTCCGACGAGAACTTGTGCAGGTGCAGGTAATTGCCCGCGCCGCCGGCGTCCACCCAGCTGAACCCGACCTCTTTCTTGACGCCCCTCTCCCGCATCTGCCGCCGCACCCTCGCCACCGCGCCCCAGTCACCCTTCTCGGCGTAGATGTTGGACAGCAGCACGTACGCGCCGGATTCCGTGGGCTCCGTCTTCGTCAGGACGCCGGCGACCCTCTCGCCGACGTCTGTGTTGCCGTGGATCCTGCAGGCGCCCAGCAGGCTCTGCAGCGCCGAGACACTCGGCCCAGAAGGCATCTGCAGCATGAGCCCCTCAGCCTCCTCCAGCCTCCCCGCCCGGCCTAGCATGTCGACGACGCACGCGTAGTGCTCTGGCCACAGCTCGGCGCCGTGCTTGGCGGCCATCGAGTCAAAGATCTCACGACCCAAGCTGACAAACCCGCTGTACCGGCAGGCGGTGAGGACAGAGAGCAGAACCACGCCATCAGGAGCGACACCAGAGCCTACCATGTCGTTGAAGAGGCTCACGACGGAGTCGTAGTTCCCGTGCTTTGAGTTGGCCGAGATGATGGCCGTCCAGGCAATGAGGCTCCGGTGGACGGTCTCGCCGAACGCCTTCCAGGACTCCTCCAAGCTGCCTCGCTTTGCGTACATGTCGATGAGAGCACCGGAGACGTACTCACTAGTGCCAAGCCCCAGCTTCAGCGTCTGGCAGTGGTACATCTGGCCGTAGGCCATGGACACCGTCTCGACCGCAGTCACCGCGCTGAGGATGCTTGCGAACGTCGTCTCGTTGGGCTTCATGATCTTCACCATCGCCAAGAAGGCCTCAAGCGCGTCCTGGCACATCTCGTTCTGGGCATAGCCGGAGATCAGAGCGTTCCAAGCGATGATCTCCGGGTGAGACATAAGACTGAAGACCACCCTGGCATCATCCATGCGCCGCAGCTTGGCATACATGGTGATGAGGCTGTTCGCCGCCGCTGCCTTATCAGACAGGCCGGTCTTGAGGCACACCGCGTGGATCATCTGCCCTTCCCTCGCCGGGCAGTCTCCTGGCATCGCCGAGAGCATGGCCACAAAGGTGACCTCGTTCGGCGCCACCCCATCTCGCCTCATGCAATTGAACAGCGAGACGGCATCCTCCCCATCCATGGACATCACCGTGGTCCATGAGATGACGTCGCGCTCGCCCATGAACTCGAAGAGGCTCCGGGCGCCGCCGGGGGTGCCGCACTTGTAGTACATCGCGACGAGCACGTTGGCGATGGAGACGTGACCCTCGACGCCCAGCTTCACCGCGAAGCCGTGGATTTGCCGGCCGAGCTCGAGCTTCCCCTCGCCGCCACACGCCGGGATCACGCTGCAGACCGATATCCGGTCGGGCCGCACGCCTCCGTGCTTGAGCATCCGAAGGAACACCCGGATGACCTCCGCTGGACACTCGCCGTCCTGCGCGAGCCCGCAGACCAGCGCGTTCCAGGAGACGAGGTCCCGCGCCGGCATCTCCTCAAACACCTTACGGGCCGCGTCCAGCGACCCACCCCGGGAGTAGGCCGTGACGAGCGCATTGCCGACGAACACGTCGGCGGCGATCCCCGCGCGCGACGCCAGCGCGTGCAGCTGCCGCACGAGGCGGGCTTCCCCGCGGCCGGCGGCGAGCGAGAGCGTGACGGTGAACGTGACGGCGTCGGGCCGCACGTCCCCGGCCAGGAGCATCAGCGCGGCGAACGCGAGCGCATCGTCGGGGTCCGGGGTCGCGGAGAGGATGGTGTTGTAGGAGCTCGCGTCCCGGCTCCGCGCGGCGGCGAACACCCTGGCGGCCGCGGGAAAGGAGTTGCCCTTGGCGTAGCGCGCGGCGAGGGAGTTGGTGACGGGCGCGAAGGCGGCGAGGCCGGAGGCGACCGCGAGGGCGTGGAGCGCGGGCAGGGCGTCCAGGCCGGAGCGCGCGACCGCCGCGGAGAAGGCGGTGGGGGAGACGGGGAGGCCCGCCTGCAGGAGGCCGCGGAGGGCGGCGAGGGGCGTGGCGGCGCTTGCGCGCGGTGGGTGGGCAGTTTCGGCGAACGGGTGGTGGGCGGCCGCGGTGTTGGCCGTCGCGCGCGCGGGGCAAGTCAGAGGCAGCCGCCGCAGTGGCATCTAGAGACGAGGCGCCCTATCGCTGGCTGGACAGTGGACTCCACCACCAACTCCCGCAACTCAAACGAAACGGATAGGAGCTCGGTGGTGACTGATAGGAGCTCGGTGCGATTTTGATTCGGTTCTACTCAGAGCGGGTGGCGTGGTCTACGGAATTTGAATTGTGCCATCACCTTGTTGGTCTTCTGAAAGTTTGAGCCGTAATTTCTGGCAAACTGTGGCTCAAATGATTTGGTTAATATGCTGTTACTTAATGCAGTGCATAAGTGGAATTTTGTTTTCGTTGGACTGAACTCATGGATTCCCATCGTCCAAAAAGGATGATGGATTCCACAAAGCATTTCTCCATCTTGCGAACGAATTGCTGGTATTGTAGGATCCATTGGTTAGAACTTTGGAAGTTTGGAACACCTAAAATCACTCAAATGCCAATTGCAGCTTGTGACTAGTTGTATTCTAGTTGTCCCTATTTGCCAATTGCAAATTCACAATGATAAATTATGTCCTAGTTCCACACAATCCTTTGTTGGTGTTCCTCGTATTGTGTTCCCTTGTACTGCTCTGCATATAGTGCCCCTTATCAGCATCTCCTGTAATAGAACCGAACAATCCTTTTGGTTTGTTTGTGTTACTCTCATTGTGTTTTCTTGTACTGTTCTGCGAATGGTGCCCAAAGCTCCTTATCAGCATCTCTTGCAATATATAACCAAAAGTGTCCTTTCGTTTCTGTGTTCATCGCATCATGTTTCCTTGTACTATTGTGCATATGTCACTCGCAGCATGTTATCAGCATCTCCTGTAATAGAACACTGAATCATTTTCCTGTTATTTTCAAAACCATTTTCTGTGTTACCAGGAGCAGCTAAATCAGTTCCAACGTTGGAATCTATCTTTGAGCAGTAAGGAGTTTATTCCCCAGTCATCACAACTTAGACAACATCAGGGTCAGTGTTGTTGTTCTAATTCAACCTTGGAGCTCACGTCATCCAACTCTTAAAAAGAACTTGTGCTTGCAGCTGCCATGTCACAGAGGTCAAGGAGCCTTGTTGGTCGCTCAAGTTCAGGCTCATCTGCAGGAGTCGCTGCGGTGAGCAGACCCGCAGACGCTTCAACTGCTCAGAGTGCTCTGCCCATGACGCATTGCATGGATTCGGTCCCAGGTGCGCCTGTTGTTATTTCTGGCTACTGGACTGGCCCCGATGTGGATGATGGTTGTGGTAGTATTGAAGCCATGCTCGAAAGGATCATATGATGGTTGCGCTTGCGGTTAACTAGGGCAATTGTTTCTGGAATCTGAAGATAACCTGTATTGACGCATCATCTGGACCATATATATGATGGCTATATTTTGCTTCTTTCAGAGCTGTTTTTCCCCTTGGGGTTATAAGTTGTTTTGTTTGCTATTAACTACATTGCTGTTTTCAGTGTGCCCAAAGCAAAATCCTAGAAATCCTCTCATCAGTTCAGAAAAACAAAAGCAATAATGAAGGACTTGCATCGGTTATTTTGGTTGGCCCAAATTAGAAGGGTGTGGCATTAATCAGGGTATGTTGCTTTGCATGTCAGTGTCAAACAATTTGCATGATATTTATGCTATAACAACATACATTTGGTAGAACTTTTGAGCTTTGAGGCTTGGGCATGCTGGCACCGTGCTTGCTTCCTTCATGTCCCTGAGCCTCTCGCGTGCTCTGCTCGTGCAGCAGGTGTGCGATGAAGGAAGTCTGCTGCAAGTTCATACTACACAAGGCACCAGCAAAGCGTGCACATGCCGTTGTTCTGGATAAAGTAGTTTGGTCCAAGGTTGTGCAATGTTGTTGGAGGTGATGTGATTATGGCATGGAGAGGCAAACAATTTGGGGGTTTCATATGGATACGTAGTTCCAAGAAAGATGGTTTTTTCCTATTCTACTATACACTAGACGTGCTGAATTACAAAAAAAGGAAGTGAAACCTAGCCACCTAGGTTTTCCTTCCCATTTTGTTTCTTTTGCTTGTTATTACTCGTTTCTTTCTCTAAAGAAAGGGGCAGCCCTCCATCGAGGCATACGATACTCCTGTACATTGAAGGACGAAAGTGGGAGCGAAAGGAGATGCAGAAGCATCTGTAGACTGAGATTACACCACTCAGAGTGCTTTCTTTTAGAACTGCTATTTCTTTCTCGCACGCAAGATCTTTCGCACGACTTTCTTGCTTTGAAAAATGAGGGGATTGGTTTTGGAGCTGAATATTCGTAGCTCAACAAAATATTATATCTAGAGCTAGAGATGCATCGAGAGCATTGAGATGAATCATTCAGTTTTTTTTTTGATAACTGTTCAGTTTATATTTAACCTGTGAACTATATCTATGAACGCCTTGGAAAAAGACTTCACAGATGACAAGTCGAGGACTTAACCTGGGTAGACAGGTTTCACCATAATAAACCCAATCAGATAAGCTACACTCAGTTTTATCTATTGAGGATAACAAAAACTGAAGATATTGCATTATTAATTTCCACTTCCTACCCCTGTTTAACTGTTCCGACATAAGACAAGTTGTTGTATTATTACATTTCATATATTAAGTTTTCCTTAAAACCAGTACTTGTGCATGTCATGGTATGGACACATATTGTGAAATGGAGGAAAAATAATTGTTGATCAAAAGTTAGTCCTAGTTAAACCAAATATGTCTTATATCTTTAGATAGTGTAAATTATGTTTATGAAAGGACCAATCTTTCATTTGTGTTTTCGTATTTAGTAGGCCCTAAATTATTGAGTAACGATAAAAATCAAGTAATACATTATCGACAAGATTTGAGTGTAGGCTCACCCATTTCATTTTTTTGGATCTTTTCTTTGTCGACAAGTCCATGGTTATGGTTATGATTGCACATTCTTTTTCTTTCTTTTGCACAGTCTATTCCAATCACCTAGAGAGTGCGTGTTAGTTTCTTTTTATTTGGAGTTTTGTTATTAGAAGCTGCTTTGATTGTCTTGTACAATTCTCTACAGTTACTAACAAAACTGTGTTCCATTGTATTTCCATTTAAACGACATGATTTATTTTTTGTCAAACCCCATGAGAGCTGCACGTCTTTATATTAAAGAAAAAAGAAGCACAGTTCAAATATATGCCGACTCCATGACTTGGATTTGTTTTTTTTTATCCCCTCACGCCCGTTTACAAATTTGTCTGCCTAAGCGTTGTCGTTAACGACATGAGATTCCTTAGGAGCCGGGGTCAGTCTAGTTGGATTTCAAATATCGTGGGGATCCTTTGTCCAGCAGCATCTGACACTATTGGATAAAAAACAAATGGATGTCTATATCCAACAAAGTCCAAATCCAATTGAATCCAAGTGAGAAAGTCTAATTGTATCTTGGATTATGCCAAGTCCAATCCCAGGTCTATTAGCATGAGATGATTTTGCATTTTTGCCTGATGCTGATGCTTCGCTCTCTAGGAACAGATAATCGTTGATCAAGAGACAGTTGCAACGTAGACTGATCCACCGGTTCAACCGCCCCAGCTGCTCTGGATGACGATCTTACCAAAGCATGAATCCAAATGGAAGAATCAGTTCCTCCGGTTAACTATATGGGTTCATCCCAATCATATCACTTGAGCCAAGGCTCTATGCCTCTACATGCATCTAATTCTTGTAGAACCATGTGCTTTAAGCTGTTTGATTCATGTGTGGACCGAGGACTGCCACCCATCCTTTGGATATACGATAAGCACAAGTGACTCTACTAGAAAAATGATTTTATGGTTGAAATCACTCTAGAATCTGATCTAAGATGTCTGCCTAACATGTCCTAAATTGTGAGAAGTTAATTACAAGGCTGGCCCAACTTCTAACCTACCAAAACCAGACTATATCATTAAAGGATCTTGGTACTAACTTGTGTCCAATCCCAAACCCTGAAAGATCTCAATAAAAAAGAGAGACCACTTTGGGTTGTTCTTGGACTAGTCACTTCCAATGCCACATTCAAAGGCGCAGCAATAAAGCAGCTTGGAGTGGTACACATCTAACACTTTTTTTTTTGAAAATGCAGGAGAGCTGTGTTTCATTGTATTATAGAGATGACACATCCAACACTCGCATCATATATATCTTCCGTCAACAAGAAAAGGCGAATAAACCATAGAGAAAGGGGTGAACTTCGCCAGACAAAGATATGGGTTCGCCGTTCGTGCGCTGGTCAAGCTGAACGGCATCATCCCCATATAGATTTTTTTTCTGGAAAAATATCTGCATATAGAATAGGGCCAGCTTTAAACGACCATGATTGCACACCACAGGAGCATTGATCCCTTAAGCTGTTGAGCATAAGATGCCACCCATAACCTATTATTGTCTCCTGGCCAAACCTAGAATAAATAATGAGCTGGCAAGCTGTTTCCCAGAACAAGAGCTGATGGTATGCGTTCTTGTGAAGCTTTGTCCATTCTCCACTTGATGGCTTAGATAAATATGGCATTTGGAATGTCGAAAAAATCCAATATTTAAACATGAAAATTGGTGCAATCTTATGCGACTAAAGGTTTTACCTTAAGGACTCATTTTCGTACAATTCTCTCATCACAAAGGCCATCTTGGTTGGTCCTAAGTCAACACTTTTCCCCTCTTAAAATAAGACTTCAGTTAGCAATTTCTATACAATAGTAGTATTATGTTATTTGGAAAAGGTTACACATTCATTATAAAAGGAGTCTTCGTAACGAATTTAGTAGTTTCAATATATCTATACATAAAGTGTTAGATATCGATGGTGAGTGTTCGGCTTTAGAAGAAAACCAATGGTTATAGGAACAATGGTGGAGCTTGGACAATTGGACCTAAATCCAGCAGGACCCAATCATTAGAGAACAATGGTTCTTTAATTTTTTTATCAAGGCAAATGATTGCAAGTAATGGAGTTCACAAAAGTTAAGGGGTGGCCATGTTCTCTATTGGCATGTACTCACTCTGTTTTAACTTATAAGATATTTTGGTTTTTCTA